GGGCCTACATGAGTTTTAAGGCATGCCCTACTTAATAACATACAACCAAACATTAGTTTTATTAAACTAACAATCAATAAATTAATTAGATGTTAACCTCTTAATTACGTGGAAATTAATAAAAGTTGGCATTATCGTATCAATGAATTAAAAACAGATTTTCCACAATCCATAGACCTTTTATTTCATTAAATACATGAGGTTAATAACATTAAATTAGAATAATTATTTTAAATTAATATTATTATAATTAATAATTACTATAAAGTGTCAATATAAACGAAATTTGTGGGTAGTATTAGTTTATAAATTAATTATAACTTGTTAAATTATAAACGTGTTGTTTTTAATAATCAAACTTATATATTTTCTTTGGCCCATCACAGTTAAACAATATACAACCTATGTTTTTGGGACAAATATTAATAAATTTGTGTAACTTTTGTTGGGAATTAAATCCTCCGGCCCTCCTCAGGCTCTAATAGTACTTTTGGAATTTAACTCACACTAAGGTTTATTAATGAAAAAAATCACAGTAAAATTAGACAAGTGGATTAAATAATAAAATAATAGAGAAGAAGAAGAAGAATACTCAATTCAACGTATGAAAAATCTTTTCACATGGGGAAATAACTACAAAAAAGAAGAAAAAAAATTACTATTAAGAAAGGGTTACAATATTAAAAGCCAAATCTATTATTAAGAAAGAGCTATAACATTATATTTATACTAGATTACAAATATTAGAGTCTAGTTAGAAGAAGATATCCTAATTACATTCTAAACAGAAGCCCAAGAAATCACATTTACTCATGATGCCGCCATGTATGGTCCCCTTAGTTATCTTTTCTAAAAAATTGGAGTTGGTCCTTTCAAGTTTGTCTCCATCGGGAGCAACTCCGCTAAATTCACTGACATAAACAGGGGAAGAAGATGGAAAGAATGTTTTGTGTGAGAAGGATAGAAGACGTATATTAAAGAGAAGGTGAAAGTAGCTATTTTGGAAAGAAAAAAAAAATGTAAGGTTCGCCCTTAAAACGATAAATGGGTAGAAAAGTATAGGTGTAAAAGCGAACAAACTTTTTCGTGGAAGAAACTCAAGATTTTGTGGAAATA